CCAGATGGCAAAAGATTCTCAAAGTAAGAAACAGCCTTGGGGAAAAAACTGCAGGTCACTGTCAGGAGCACGTGATCTAAAGATGAAGCCAAGGATATGACTTTAGAAACTGTTAAGGCTTCAGACACTCTTAATGCGATGCCCCAGAGACCTCTTCCAAAATACAAAAGGTTTTCTAAGGATCTTAAGGGTGGACCTCAAAAACCCTCTCTGTTAAATAATAGAGCATCTAAAAATGTTATGGGCATTATTTTGCAAAGCCTCAAGGTAGACAAAGGCTCTTCTTAAAGAGACTTGTATGGATAGCTTTGCCTAATGAAAATGGATATAACTTGATACATAAAAAGCCAACAGTTTTTTCCATAATTATAACCTGTTTGGACTTAAAGCAACAAAACCAATACAAAAGAAAAGCAGGCTTTTGGATCCCGAACTTTTCACTGGTAGAAAGCAAGCTGAGAAGGCTATTTAATTGCAGACACAAACTACTTTTTAACTGGAAAAGAAATGATGCCTCAGAAAGAAAAACTAAGAGCCCAAAGGGTGCGACCAAGTGCCAGGAAGAACACCCCTCAGGGAGCATCACTGAGCCATAATTAAGGAATGGCCAATATGTGCCCACTTGAATTTCAGAACTGTTATGGGTCAGTGACTGCTGTATCCTCCCATTTTCTTCATTCTTGAACGGAAAAGTCTACTGCAGTAATCATAGTCCCATCTCGCCATTGTCTGTTACGGGGGAAAGAGAATAGATAATACATCTCTTTAGTTAGCAGATCTGCAGAGCAAGAGGAACCATGCCCCAGAAACCAAACCCAAGAAGTCTCGCCTGCATCTGGACCTAAATTAGATAGTGAGATCCTGAACCTCAAACTTCAGCCTAATGCTAAAATGAAATGAAACCTACTGGTGACTGTATTTTGTACATGGAATGAGTGTGAGTAATTTGTGGCCAGAGAGAAGACTGAATTGATTTTAAAACAAGTCCAACAGTTCCTGGACACTCCCCATCAAGAGGTAGGATCTATGCTCTCTTCTAGAAAGTCAGGGTCATCCTTAGTGACTCAGTTGTAAGTATGATGTAGAAGTGATGTTGTGTGACTTCTGAGGATAAGTCACCAAAGGTCATACAGCTTCCACCTAGTTCTTTTAAGACACTCATCTTTGGCGCGCTGAACTGCCACGTAAGAAATCTAACCACCCTGAGGCCACTTCTGCTTTGAGCAAGCCCAGACAACATGAGAAGGCTGCATGCAGATGCTACAGCTAGCAGGCCCATTCGACATCCCAGAAGACTGACAGAACAATCAGCAGAAACATTGGGGAAGATGGTCCAGATGGTTCTGACCTCCAGCTGTCAAGTCAAGCTCAGTATCAAGTCTCCCCAGCCGAGGTCCCTGACACCACTGAGCAAAGACAGAGTCTCCATCGGGCCCTTTCACATTCCTGGCCCACTGAAATTTTGAATGTAATAAAACGCTTGTTTTACACCTCTAAACTCAGTGGTAGTTCCTTTGGCCATGATAGTAACCAGAACAATACTGTCATGGAAGAATTCATACTTTCTGTTTCCAAACAAGAAAACCAGGATAAAGAGTTTAAGTAATGAACAAAGATCACCAAGAAGCAGAGCAAACATTCTAAAACGGACCTTTCTGATTCTAAACTCATGTTTATAATGTTACACTATCTCCCAGAAACCCTTATCTCTTATCTTTTCTTACTAACACTTCCCCACCAAGGATTATATGCCCACATCATCTGCTTCTCTAAGACCAAACCATCGTTCAGGACCGCTTTAAATTCTATCTCTTCCATGAAGCACATCCCTGGAGTCCAACCCTTAGCAATTGCTTCCTCTTCTAAACTGTCTTAAACTTATTTTCTACAACTTTCATTTGAAAAGGAGTGAATGCTAGCATCACTCATTCACCATTAGTGAATTCATTGCTTTTCTGATGCACATTCCTTGGCTACCCTCTTGAATTACGCCCCTAGACAAGGGTTAAAAACCCAAATTCCTACAGAATGAAAGCAGGTGTATACAGTGGTGAAGTGGACTAGGTCAAAAGAACAGAAGTGGCCTGGGTTAGGTTACACTAGGAAGTGAATGTAAATGGTCCACATCATCCAGCTCCAACACACACATCTTCATAGCCATCACCACCTGACATTTCATATACTTATTTGTTTAATGTCACTCTCCTCATTAAAATACAAGTTTACTGAGAGCAGGAATCTGATCTGCTTTGTCCACTGCTATATCACCAGAGCCTAGAACAATACCTGACACTCAGTCAATAAATACCTGTTGAAGGAATAAATGAACAAATATTGCCAAGTAGAAATGTGAGCCTGGTGTCCCAAGAGTTTCCAATTTTTCAAGAGAAGCCAGAAATAAATAATGCTATGTGCAGTTTCTCAATTTCTAAATGTTGACAACTAATTAGGAAAATGTTAAGCCATTTTTAGGCATGAGTAAACAAAACACATCTACAGGCTCGGGGTCCATCTGAAGGCGGCACTGCGATCGCTATACTGGAGGGATCTTATACTTTTTTTAAATCTTCCTAATTACTCAGAATGGTGCCTTGAAAAGTACGCATAACTTGATAAGCAAATAATGATGCTTCAAATATGCACACTTGAGGCATTGCTTCCATCCAGCTGTGCATTATTAAGATGCTACTCAAGATTTTCTCTCATATCCCAAAGGAAACTGCTTTAGCTTCTGACTCAACATGACCACCTGGACTTCATATGACCATCCCACACCTCAGAATCTAAAGCTAAACTTTCACTTCTTCCAGCTGCTAAAAGTTCAGAATTGTCACTCCCACGTGTTCCCAGGAATAAAGAGGAACGGTAATAAAAAGCAAATAGATTAGATTTCCAAGGAGTGACAAAAAAAGAGAACCAGGCTTTAAACTTTAGTTCCACAGTATAAATAAGGGCTCCCAATAGCAGCTTTGTTTTCCTTTTTACTATTCTTGGGATTTTTAGATTGTACAACAAAAACTTTATTTCAGTTGACCTTCTGACGTTCTCTGGTAGCATGTTTTTATCTTTTCCACATAAAAAGTATTAAGTAGGAATTTTAAAATGTTTACTAATTACTGGAATTCTTAATTCTAATAAGAGTCATATCGAAATAATTAGTGTGTCTGGTTTTAAATATGGATCACTTAGCAACAAGCATAATTGTGCAGAGCTGAGAACACTTTTAAGATGCTTTAAAGAAAACATACTAGGGAGAAACATTTCCAATGTACCCTATGCTGCTAATGGACCCACAGCGAGTCAGTCATCAACTTTTAAAGATGTTAAAGGAAAGATGTCTTAGTGTTCCTTTTCTGTGTATGGTCCAACATGTGCAGCCTTGAAGGTACCCATAGGAGACATCAACAAACATCAGAGGGATTCAACCTAGCAAATAAGTCCTAAAGAGCAAAAAAATGTCTTCCTCCTAGCCTCCTAGAGCCAGCATTAGGGTATTATTTTAATGATTATGTGGAGTCACTCACGATACACAGTTCTTTAATAGTGGCATTAATTTTGTATGCAGGCAGATTTTATTTTTTAAATAGGTTCTTCGGTGACTTAAATTGAAAGTAACACTGAGAAAACTTTACTTAGCCAAATCCATTATTCAAAATTTAGGTTGTTATAGAGCTATGAACTTCCTACAGAAGAAAAATACAGATTTCTATTCACTTCTTCTGTTATGGTTGAGCGGCACTGAATACGACGGCCACTGTTGGAGAGAGTCATTACCTGAATTCTCACATAGACACCGAGATGAAACAGTGAAACACAACTCCTAAGGCACAGGGAGTGTAATGAGGATGAGGAGCCCCAAATTTGGGATCAGACCAATAGAAGTCAGTCCTGCAGTGCTAACACTTGCTTAATATCCGACTCTGGTAAAGTTACTTAATCTCTTGAAATCTAAATTTACTTTATTCATCAGGAAAGATGAAATTGTAATACCTTGCTTTATAGCTGATATGAAAACTAGAATAAATGCACATGTATTCTATAAGCCATTGAAATGAGGAGGAAGTTGTTAAGTCAGCATGGCCTGACTTAGCCTGACTAACGCAATACAGTAGCATGTAAAAAGTGCCTCGAACACCATGGTGTCACAAGTGGTAATCGTCATAAAGAATCCAACTGGTTCTTGGTATAAATTTAATACAGAGAGTGAATTCTCTAGGCTGCCTATATATCGCCCTTCTCTAAGCACGTATTTCTCTACACTTGGGTGCTGTGGGTAACAGAGGCTTTGCACCTTACAGAAATTCTAGCACATTGGCAGAAGAACTTCTGCACAAAAAAAGTTCACTGAGCATTGTTGCTCATCATTGAAAATCAGAAAAATTTCATCTACAGGAGGGTGACCAATTTTGATGTATTCATTCAACGATTCTATTCAGATAAACCCCCAAACCATAACTTGAAGCAAAAAAAATGAAATGAAATGAGATAAAAATAAGTTGCAGAATGGTATCTATACTATAAAACCACTTATATGTAATTTTAAAGCATGAGATGTATTGTAAATAGACTGACACATACTTAATAACTGAATGATAATATGCCTGGAAATGGCACCCTCCAGATTCGGAGTAGTAATTCTCTCTAAGGGAGGAGACGAGGCAGGGAGATCAGACAGGTGCACACAGAGGGCTTCAACTCTATCCAATCCGTATAAACAAAAATAGGCCATTTCCTGTAAGAGACAACAGCCTTTTCAGAGACACTCAGGAGACGAAGAGGGAGGGATGGCAGGGGCAGGGGAGGTGGTTAAAGTAACAAGAAGCCTGGGTATAGAAGAGACATTCCTCTCCGACTCTTCGAAATGAGGAAGATAATTTTCCTTCTAAGGATTAAAGAAAGAATTCAGTGACATAAGATGTGGAAAAGATAGAAACAATTCACTGTTAATCCAGAAAGCAGTGCACATCATCCAAAAACACCACCCAGCGTGAAATACTTACTGTAACCCCACTCTTGGTGGTAGTTTCTCTGTAGGTGAAGTTGCAAATTGCCCAGGCTAAATAGTATGTGGACATGAGAGGGGTCTGTGAGAAGTGGTCCGTAACCCATCCATCTTCCTCAAACACGGACGTTTCCACTGGCATATTGGATAAAGACAAGTAGGTCGCTTGATGTCTGATGCTGATTTTGAAAGTAGCCTTGTAAATGGGCTCATCAAAACATGGAAATGCCTTCCTGGCATGTGTGGGCGAAAACTGAGTAACACCAAGGAATCTGGAAGAAAGAAAATGGCATTCTCAATCACATGTATGGCTCGAGTTAAGCTATGACCACTTTAACATCAGCTTCTGCTGATGAAATAATGTATGTTTGCCAAATGACAGGATACTTTTTTTTGGAACCAAACTTAAGTGCATGAATAGCTTGAAAGCATAAATCATATATATTTCCCCAACAATAAATATCCTTCAGGGAAGTTTTTGTCTCAACTAAATTCTCTAAACCCAGAGCTCTATGTATTAGACAAAACATGACACTTTATAGAAAAACAACTCATTGTCATCACATTGGCAATTACTGGGAAATCATGGTCCTCCTTTTTGGCATATCTCATTCTCCTCTCTGAACCTGTACAACCAAGTAAAGACAGTGAAGCCAAAATCCAAAACTTGCCATCAGATACATAGACCATCACTCAGAAACATTCGTGTCCTCAAATTTCAGCAAGACGTGGCCTGGTTTCGTTAAGGAAACGGACATTGAAACCTGACAAAATTTGCTCTGAATTCTGGCTCCGAAACTCTTCTTAGCCGCACCATCTTGGAAGATTACTAAATTTCCCTAAGGTGTAGGTGTTTGCTGCTTACAGAGAAATAATCAAGCCTAACTTAAAAAGCATTGTAAAGCTTAGCAGAATCGAAAAGAGGGGTGTAAAGCACCTGTCACTGTGAACAGATAAACAGCGCCCAGCAGGCAGTTAATACACGGCAGCACTGACTCACAGTATCTTCAGCCCTTCCTGGAGTGCTGTACCATCCATTTACACAGAATGATCCAGAGACCGCCGATTTTCACTACTCACAATATATATTTGCTAAATAAATTATGCATTATTATGCTTGAATATAATAAAGTAAATTAACATAATAAATACCTGTAGAATAAAGAAGCTTGTCAATGTGTGTGTGTGTGTGTGTGTGTGTGTGTGTGTATTTATAAAATATTTAATGCCCTCAAGTTTTCAGATCAAGCCACAAAGTTGCATCTCATTAAAACTCTAACCAGAAGCATCCTCTCTACATTCTTTCACTGTTATGGTTACAAATGAAAACACTCAAACTAAGTACTTTAAGAAGGACCCTCTTTTATTTTATTTTATTTTATTTTATTTTGTTATTTAGACTATTATCATATGCTGTTTCTTTTTAAACTGAAATACAGTCAGTTACAATGTATCAATTTATGCAGTACAGCACATTGTCCCAGTCTTGCATATACATACATGTATCCGTTTTCATACTCTTTTTCATTATAGGTTACTACAAGATGCTGAATATAATTCCCTGTGCTAGACAGAAGAAATTTGTTTTTTATCTATTTTATTTATAGCAGGGTCTATTTTATATTCCATGTCAAAGTTAGATTGTAAAATGCCACATTTATCTTATTGTCCTAGTCTCTTTGTCACACTTAACTACGGATTTCCATCTTTTAAGACAAACAGTTGTCAGTTCTCTTTTGCAATTTCGTCTTTCCGGAGTTAATCAAGAAACTTCTGGGAAATATTTGGGGTTTGCCTCCAATCTGAGTGGAGATAAACTGAATTAAGAAGGACCCTCTTTTAATTTAAAAAGGAGGCCATTATTTGGGAAAACATTCATGACATAAGTTAATTAAACTTTTTTAATAATACCAGTTAAAACCTGAGATAAGGCAAGTCAATATTAGACCCTTTGTAAAACATGACTGAGGGCTACAGTCATTTCTTTAAAAGGCTCCTTCCCCCATAAGTGGTGCTGCCCACCCCCACCCCGCCCACTCTCCGTCCCTCAGAGTTCACTGTTAATCTCACATGGCACACTTTCCTGCTGAGCCCAAACTTGCCCTTAAAATCATTCTGAGCCCAGCACTTCAGGCAGTTACTACCTATCAATAGGGGTTGACATGTGTAAGGAATTTTATTGGCTATGCCTGGCTCAAACCATGAAATGTAAATGTTTTTTAAAATTATGAAGCTTACATGTATCACTGAGGGTCTACTTTTTTAAAAACTTAGTTTTTTTGCGGGGGGGAGCAATTAGGTTTATTTTTGCTTATTTATTTACTTCATGGAGGTACTGGGGATCAAACCCAGGACCTCATGCATGCTAAGCATGCACTCCACCACTGAGCTATGTCCTCCCCTCTCCAAAAGCTTAATTTTGAAATAGCAAAAAATAAGACACTTTTAGGATTAATTGTATACTTCGCCTCAGAAAGAGGGGTTTTGAGAGTTATCTTGGAAACAATGCTGGGCTGCTACATACCAGGCTTGAGCAAATCACTTAACTGCCGAAGCCTATTTTTTCATTAGTAGAAGGAAAATAATAACATTTTTGGGGTCTCCCTTAACAAAACTGTCAAGATGATTAAATGAGATAATATATAGAAAAGAAGTTTTAACTATAAATCTTCTGAAAAATAGAAGGTTAAAGTCAGAAGCAATCTTAGAAACAAATTGTCCAGCTCTCGTAAATTGCTAAAGTGAAAAACTAGTTCCAGGAGAGTTAAATGATTTATCCAAAGTTACACAGGCAATTAGTGCAAAACTGCGTCTAGAATTCGCATTTTCTGTGTCTGAGTAAAAGGTAACTGTATTCCAAAAACAATAAAATTAATCTTTAGCCATCATTTATAAACAATGTTTTAATTTGACTATTGGGAATAAAGGTTCTTCTGTCCAAATTTGCTAACATCTTGGTAATGTTTTTCCATGTTGTTTTCTACTAATATATAGTTTTTGCTTAATGAAATGTCAGTAACTTTTAGATAAAATGCACCCGTTTACAACTTTCTCTTCACATGCTTTTGCCTTACATAATATTCCTGAATCTTATCTTCAATCTTATTAATTAAAATGTCCACTGAGTTTCATATTTCTCTACTGAGGCTATTTGAAAGATCCTATGGAATTTAATATATGAGAAAAAGTATTCCCTTTCAACATTCAAGTATCTGAGAACTCCAATTTCAGTCTTTGAACAAATAGATACCATCTGCAGATATGTGAGATTTTTCGCTACATTAGGTACGTGATAGGGTTTTGTAAAAGATATAGCCAATTTTGTCCTTAAGGCCTTTGCAATCTACCTGAAAAAAAGAAAAATACATACATAAAAAATAACTAATAATACTAGGGGAAAGTTCTGTAAGAGTTCAACCAAGAGGTTGCAATGAGAATGTATTTAGTCATTAAGTAAAAACCAAAGATGTCTTTGGTATTAAGTAATTAAAGGGTGGGGAATTTATTAGGTGCAGAAGATCTAAATACCTCTGGGCTAGAAAGAAATTAATAAACCAAATATTTATGCAGAAGAAGCATGTCGTGTTCAAGTCTCTTTTTGCCTCACATTTGCAAGCCGTTAGAAAGGCTTGTAATTTAAATCACTGATTCTCAGGGTTGAAAGGAACCGTAAAGATCATCTAGTGACTTTTTCTGCAATTAATATTCTTAATGAATTCATGCACATGGTGTATATCTATGCACTGAGGGCCGGCATATATTCTGATAATGTCTAAATGAGGAAATACCAATTTCACAGTCTGGCACCTGAGGACGACTGCAATTGAATTTCAATTCAATATTTAGCAAATCAAAACAAGCCCCTTGGAAAAGAAGAGCAGTTGGGCTAGATTACATTTAGGGTCTTTTCCAAGCCTGAGATCCTGTAACTGAAGGGAAATAAACTAGTCCTTGAATCTGATGAGATGTTTTTAAAATATTAAATTACACTACTGCTAAATAGCTTTTTACTACAAAAATTAGACTGTGTTTGCTTCTTTTAGTCATCATTTTTGAGTGTTCAGTAGCATGGAGAAAAAGATAAATATATATGCTTCCTTCCCTCAAGGAGTTTATACTTTGATTAAATAAATAAAACATACGTCTAAACAGGTATCGTACAAAAGCTAGGACAACGAGGGAAAATATCTGAAGAAAGTACACTGCCCTAAAGCAAGGTAGCAAGTTTTCTCACCTTTGGCACTACTGATTCTGTTTTTTTCCCTTTGAAGTATAAGCATTGGTGATTCAGAATTCAAGACATTACTGACATTTTAAGATTGGATAATTCTTCCTTGTCCGGGGTCATGATGGGGCACTGTAGGAGGGTTAGCAGCATTCCTGGATTCTACCACTAGAGGCCAGTAGAACTCCCTCTGCCCAGTTGTAACCATCCAAGTGCCTCGACATTGTGAATGTCTCCTGCGAGGCAAAGATTACCCAGTTGGGAACCACCACTCTTAAGCACTGAAAGAATCATATGGTAGCACTCATATGCGGAATCTAAAAGAGAAAGAAGGAACGAAGGAAAGAAAGAGAGAAAAAGAGAAAGAGAGGAAGGAAGGAAGGAAGGAAGGAAGGAAGGAAGGGGAGGACACTAACGAACTCAACTACAAAACAAACAGACTCACAGATGTAGTAAACAATCGTATGGTCGTGGGGGTAAGGGTAGGG